CTAGAATTTCCTTCTGGAGGTTTGTAATTTCCTCTAATGTTTTTCTTCTGGCAAGAGCCTCTCCTTAGTGTCTTTTCTGTGGGGATGGACGAGCAGGTGTAGAGCTAAGCAGGTGTGTGCACTTCGCTTCCCTCGGGCATGCCCTGACCTCACCTCTCTCCCAGAGGGCGTGCCTGAGAGCTCCTCAAGACCTTCTCAGAGGGATCGCCTCCCGCCTTCATATCCTCACGGGCTACTGCTGCCCCTGCTATGGTTACAATGACTACTAGATTGTGCGTTTATAGGTATTTCTCAGGAAGCATGTACCTTTTTTTCAGTAGGAGGAAAAAAGCTTGGGCTAAAACTTATAACACATTAAGTTGTCTTTACAATAAATCTCATTTCCTGTGATTCTAGTAACTCCAAAGTTTTTGATAATTTGAAGGGAATTTACCTGAGCTGGTTTACCACTATTTTAACTTAAAAGAAGATGTTCTCAAGAATTTGGCAATGCTGTGTACACAAACATATGAATGAAACTATTATTTTTAAAAAATGATTTTAAAATCTTTTAAGAGCAGTGAAGAGCTTTTAACCTCTCTGTATATGCCATTGATGCGTTTTTCTTTCTTCTTTTTTTTCTCTTTCTTGTTTTTTTTTTTTTCCCCAAGTTTTGCTCTTGTTGCCCAGGCTGGAGTGCAATGGTGCAGTCTCAGCTCACTGCAACCTCCACCTCCTGGGTTCAGGTGATTCTCCTGCCTCAGCCTTCCTAATAGCTGAGATTACAGGCACCGCCACCACGCTCAGCTAAGTTCTGTATTTTTAGTAGAGACAGGTTTCACCATGTTGGTCAGACTGGTCTCGAACTCCTGACCTCAGGTGATCCACCTGCCTCAGCCTCCCAAAGTACTGGGATTACAGGCGTGAGCCACCGTGCCTGGCCTTGATGCATTTCTTATGAGTCATTCTTATCTACTCTTTAAAGCAGTTTGACCTAGGAGTCTTGCTAGACCATAATAAGCCCAGCTTCAAGACATCTACCAGAAAGTTAAAACACACAGGTAAACAAAACCTCAAATAAACAAATGTTCATCTTTTCTTTGAACATCTCAGCTGTCTCCCATATATTGTTCAGAGCTCTTGGACTCAAGCAACAGCAGTGGTGTCCTGCTGTCTTCAACAAGAGATCGTTGATTGCAAGGCCCTTTGGGACTTGGTGAATCTAAAGGATCTGTTTGCAAAAGCACAGGAACCATGGACCTTTATGATGGGAAGGGCCCACAGGGCCCTCAGGAGCTGGCCAGTCAGTGCCACCTTCTCAGCTGCTCTTTGGGGTCTGCCATCTTGCTTCAGAGCAAGTCCAGTTCACACCCTCCTCGCCCCTCCTGTGCTGTGGGAGGATCCAAAGTGAAGATTCTGTTCCCTTCAGCTTCCGCAGCAAGAGCAAGGTGCTATTTCAAACAGGGATAGGCATTGGGCAGTCAAGAACACAAACAACCCGACAAATGTCCTTTCTGCTTATGAGATTTTCATAAAGAAATTTTAAGTCACTTTGTGGAGGTTGGGCTCGGCGGCTCACACCTGTAATTTCAGAGCTTTGGGAGGCCAAGGCGGGAAGATCACTTGAGTGCAGGAGTTTGGGACCAGCCTGGGCAGCAAAGCAAGACCCCATCTCCACAGAAAATAAAAAAAAATTAGCCAGGTGTGGTGTCCCATGCCTGTGGTTCAAGCTACTTGGGAGGCTGAGGCAGGCAGACTGCCTGAGCCCAGGAGGTTGAGGCTGCAGTGAGCCGAGATAGTGTCACTGCACTCCAACCTGGGTGACAGTGAGACCCTATCTCTGAAAAAAAAATCATCTTGTGGGGCAACCATTTATTTATTAAACTGCTTTATTGATGTATAATTCACACATCATAAAATTCACTCATCTAGTTATACAGTTTATTGAGTTTTAGCACATTCACAGAATGGTGCAACCACCACCACATTCTAATTTTAGGACAAACCATTTGTTTTCAGATTTGAAGATCAAGAATTCCATGTTATGCAACCTCGGCTAGATTTAGAAACACATCTGTTCTATGGGGTGGCAAGTCTCTGGCCAGGAATTCCTCTTGCCTAATTCCCTTTATCCTTGAAGGCCCAAGAAAGGGAGGAGCTCAGGGTCTGTAAGGCAGGTGTGGGTTCTTAAAGACAGCTCTGACTTGGTGTGGCAAGGCGACCAGCAGGTCACTTCATGCCCTCTGGCTCCAAATGATCACAGTCTGAAAGAAAGGAGAGAGCAGAGACGTGCCAGAGCGTTTTGCCTCCTTTCATCAGCAGCAGACGGAGGTCCTGGTCTCCTTTCTAGTACCCTCCGTCTGGACTTTACTTTTCCTCCTTAAAGGAGCCGAAAGAGAAACATTGTTTAATTGCTACCCCACCACCATGGCACGTGCATACCTATGTAACAAACCTGCACGATCTGCACATGTACCCCCAGAACTTAAGTCAAAAAAAAGAAAAAAAAAAAAATTGCCACCCCGACCCGCCTCTAGAGGGCAGACAGTTCCCCGGCTGAGCAGGGACGGGGCAGGCACTCTCGTCTAGGTTTTTCTGCTGTTGGGTCCCTTCTAGATTTGCCGCAGCGCGTCCCAGTGCTGGAAACCTTCTGGCGCGGTGGGGGGCGGAGGGGTTGTGGTTGTGGCTGTATTCTTTCTGGAAAGAAATCTCTCGACCCACCCCTCCCCCCACCCCAACCCAGGTTTAGAACGTGTCGAAAGGACCACAGAGTTCTAACCATTTTATTTCATACACGTCACCCTTCATAGTCTCTTAAAATTTTTTTGATAAAAGGCACGTGCCATAAAATTTACCATTTAAAAAAAATACATTTTTTTCTTCAGACAGAGTCTTGCTCTGTCACCAGGCTGGAGTGCAGTGGCGCGATCTGGGCTCCATGCAACCTCCGCTTCCTGGGTTCAAGCGATTCTCCTGCCTCAGCCTCCGGAGTAGCTGGGACCACAGGGGCGCGCCACCACGTCCAGCTAATTTTTGTATTTTTAGTAGAGACGGGGTTTCACCATGTTGGCCAGGATGGTCTGGCTCGATCTGATGATCTCGTGATTCGCCCACCTCGGCCTCCCAAAGTGTGGGGATTACAGGCGTGACCCACCGCACCAGGCCCCATTTAAACTATTTTTAAGCGTACAGTTCTGTGGCATTAAGTACGTTTACATTGTTCAACAATCGCCACCCTCCATCTCCAGATATTTTTCATCTTTGTAAACTGAAACTGCCCACTAAACAATACCTCTCCATTTCCCCTCCGCCCCCCCACCCCCGTCACTGGGAACCCGTATTCTATTTTCTGTCTATATGAGTTTGACTACTCCAGTAACTTCATATAAGTGGAATCAGATAGTATTTGTCCTTTTGCGACTGGCTTATTTAACCCAGCGTAATGTCTTCAAGGTTCAACATACTGAAGCAGGTGTCAGAATATCCTCCCCCCGCTCCTCCCCCCCTCCTCCTCCCCCCTTCTCTTCCCCCCCTTCCCTCTCCACTCCTCCTCTTCCTCCTCTTCTTCTTCTTCCTCTTCCTCCTCTTATTCTGCTTCTGCTTCTTTGAGACAGGGTCTTGGTTTGTTGCCCAGGCTGGAGTGCAGTGGTGTGATCATAGCTCATTGCAACCTTGAATGCTTGGGATCAAAGAATCCTCTTGCCTCAGCCTCCCAAGTAAACAGGCATGCACCACCATGCCCAGCTAATTTTTGAATTTTCATTTTTGAAGAGACAGGGTGTCACTATGTTGCCCATGCTGGTCTTGAACTCTTGGCTTCAAGGGACGCTCCTGCCTTCATCTACCAAAGCTGGGATTATGGATGTGAGCCACTACACCTGGCCCAGATTTGCTTTCTTTTTAAAGTGGAATGATATTGCACTGCATGTCTCTGCCACATTTTCTTTATCCATTCATCTGCCAGTGGGCACTTGGGTCGCTTCCACCTTTTGGCTGTTGTGACTCACGTTCCCACGAATGTGGGTGTGCACACATCCCTTTGAGTCCATGGTCTCAGTTCTTTTGGGTTTTCATGGTCGTTTCCGCCCAACGGGAGAATAAGATAAATCTACCCTAAGGCAGGGCTTTCCCACTTTTTCATGTTCTGGCTTACAAAGGAAATATCTACTTGTCTCCCTGGGATTTGGAGCCACAAAGGGTGATGGGGGCAACTGGCCCAGCATCCTGCTGCCCAGCTGTCCCCTCCCAGACAGGCTTGGACACACTGGGTAGGCAGCTCTCTGCTGTGGGTAATGAGGTTCTTCAGGTTTAAAGCCCACGTGTCAAGTGGTACGTGTGGTGCACGGAGAGCAGACGCTCTAGGTGAGGGTGATGGGATGAGGTGCACTAAAAAGGCTCACATTTCCTGTTGGCTCACACCACTTCCTATAGTACCTGGCCCTCTGTAGCCCTAGAATGAGACCCACTGGATCTCATAGCCCCTGGCAGAGCAGCTGCTCGGAATAGCTACATTATGTTACTGAAGTGGATAAATCAAATTATCCAAAAAGCCAGCATTAGCTTAGGATCCCCAGGCAGGCAGGCGGCTATGGAGGCTGAGCTGGAAGACTGGGTAGATTTATGGACAGGGGCTCCCAGCTCTGGGTGGCTCCTAGGGACCAGTGTAAACTGAGTTGCGGAACTCCTTCGGAAGGGAAAGGGAGAAGAAAGTCACGTGTAGGGCTGAGCAGAGGGCAGGTGCCTGGAGGGAGAGGGAGGGGAACAGGGCGGAGGGAGGGGAGACGGTGCCCCAGGACTCAGAGCTTCTGTGAGGCTTTGGGGATCCTTCTGCATTTCGCTTTTGCAAAAGTCAGTTCTATTGATATTACAGTCTCCTTCCCTTGAGACAGATGGGCTGGCTTGCCTACCTGGAAGGTTCTTGGGGGCAAGTGCAGTTGAGAAAAAGCCAGAACGTGGGGAGGGCTGCTTCAGGACGGTCGCAGTGGGAAAGTAACAGAGTGGCCACCAAGACAGCACTGAACGCTTCTTTTTCAAATATTTTATTAATCCGTTTGGCCAAACAGGTAATGGAAACTGAGAATAATAATTTGCTAAAAAGTTCAGGTCATGAATGCCCCTTTCCCCCAGGAAACAAAAGACTCCATGGTTACAGAATGCACCATTGGGTTATGACAACATTTCAAAATAATGTTTCCATTTCATATGTAACAATGTAAACTTCAAAAATAGTAAACTCTAACCCCTGACCCTCTTTACAGATCTATCACAGATAGAATTTTCTGGCAGACCTAAATTGTGTAAGTAAACAGCCTGGTGCTTAAAAGTTTCATAAAAAGGTTTACAGATTTCAGTAAATAATTTTTCAGTCTTGGTCAGGAAGTAAAAGCAACCAGCAATCCCCCTCCTGCACAATGTACCTTATATGGGTATTGTACACCACGGGCCACACCCTATGCACTGGCCATGAGCTCTGTCATCTTTGTACACAGACACACACACATATATATAGTTTTATTTGTTTCTAAAGATTTTTACATCTAAATTATAAGACGGCGCCAGTGACGTACCACGTCACTTCGCTTCACATAGGTAAAGACGAAAATTCTGTAGAAGGCACTGTGATTTCTCTTGCATGATCTTACACAGACTCGTGAGAGCAGGCCAGCTGGGGCTGGACTTATCTTGTCCTTCCTGGTACCTGGCACAGACCTGTCCTCTGACAGCTTTTGATGTTCATCATCCATTTCTGCCTCACCTCTTCACATCCCAGACATCCTTCCGTCCATCATCCATCCATCCATCCATCCAACCATGCATCCATCCATCCATCCATCCAAATAAATTGACAGTTATCTTTTGGTTCATTGAAATTCCTTAAAATTAAGAGTACAGCTCTGGTATAAAACAAAATATAAGCTACCATAGCTGAAAAATAATCACAGTGTACAATGCCATGTTCGGTTGCTAAGATTCAAAACACTTGTCCTGGCTTATCACGAACGTCAGCCATCCAAAACGATCTACGCAGGGATCTTTTAAACCCACTTTACATTCATTGGAAAAGCACTGAGAGGTTCTTCTTTTCTCTTTTATATTGAATCGGTACCCTTAAGTGGAAGGTCTGATGTGGAAAAGTGCAAGCAAATTGGACATGCCAATAAATACCATAGAACTTACCGCAGATGACCAAAACTGTACAGGTATGTACACCTTACCCAACTGAGGTTCCTCCCGGCAGGAATAGACCTCCCAGTCATTACCACCGAGTTCTAGAGGAGTGGTGTTAGCGGGCAAAGGAAGGGCGGGCTCTTCTGTTCTTGCTCTGAGGTCCTGAGCTCAGGTCGGCACCGCCCTCTGCAGGCTCCTCCTTCTTCCTCACTTTGAGGCGGGTGAGCAGCTTGATCAACCAGACATCCCACTCCTCTGGCAGGAGCAGGAGGAGGAAACCCAGGCCGATGATGATGATGGCGATGACCCGGACCCCATTGAAGACTATCTGACTAGTGTAGTGATCAACCACTGTGGGAGACAGAGCATGGGGGTTACTCAGCTGCAGGGCTCGGTGCACGGCCCCGGAGAGTGGGCAGGGCCTGGGGGCATCCCCCTCTGCCTGGCAGTGTTGTGGTCTTTCCTGGACCACAGGATCTTCCTCAGTATGATTTTGTTCCTGGTGGGCTGGGGTTACCTCTAGCAAATCACCCTTAACTTTATAAAACCTCTCTGGTATGAGGCCTTGCGCTTTTATGTCACCTCCCAAAACTGACTTGGTAGTTCAACCACTGATTTATGTGGTTAAAAAAAGTGAATGAGGGGCAATTGAGGAGATGATAGATAGATAGATCAGACACACACACACACACACACACACACACACACACACACACACACTCTTGACCCTTGAATGACATGAGTTTGAACTGTACGGATCCACTTATATGTGGATTTTCTTCTGGCTCTGCCACACCAAGACAGCAAGACCGACCTTTCCAATTCCTTTTCCTCCTCAGCCTAGTCAAAGTCAAGACGACAGTGAGGATGAAGACCTTTATGATGGCCCACTTCCACTCAAAGAGTAGCAAATACATTTTCTCTTTCTTATGATTTTCTTGATAACATTTTATTTTCTTTAGCTTTATTGTAAGAGTACCATATATAATACAAATAACACACACAATATATGTGAATCAATTGTTTTTTATCAGTAAGGATTCTGGTCAACAGTACCCCATTAGCAGTTAAGTTTTTGGGGAACTAAAAGTTATCTGTGGATTTTCAACTGTTCAGGGGTTGGGGCCCCCAATCTCTACATTGTTCAAGGGTCAACTGTATTTATTATTTATTTTTGAGGCAGGGTCTCACTGTATCATTCAAGCTGGAGTGCAGTGGTGCGATCATGGCTCACTGCAACTTTCGCCTCCCGGGCTCAAGCGATCCTCCCATCCAGCCTCCTGGGTAGCTGGGACTACAAGCACACGCCATCACACCCGGCTAATTTTTTTTTTTTTTTTTTTTTTTTTTTTTTGTAGAAACAGGGTTTTGTCATGTTGCTCAGGCTGCTCTAGAACTCCTGGGCTCAAGCGATCCTCCCACCATGGCCTCTCAAAATGCTGGGATTACAGGCATGGGCCCCTGTGCCCGGCCTGTATTTTAATTTTTAATATTGGTAAAACATTCTGTAAATTTAGCAGATAAGGACAGCCAACCAGCCAGTCGCATGAGCAGATGTGAGGGAGAATCCAAAAGCTGGGCAATGACCCTGCTCTGATGAGTGAGCTATGCAGCAGATTCCTCGGCTTCTCCCCTCCAATCAAGAGTGGCCTGGGATTCTTTCCTTGGACTCATCGTTAAACCTTTTACGTTGCAGGTAATGAAAAATGATTCTAATTAATCTCTCAAACACCTGGCTATGTTCTACACTCAAAGTAAGTTTCTATATAAGACAACTGGAACATGCCTTCTGGAGACAGGAACACGGCGTGACTACAAATTAAAGATGCAAAGAATGTAGGGGGAGTGTGGTGACAAGTGACTTTTCAGAAGCCTGCAGTGTCTGGACCATTTTCCTTTTTTACCAGCTGTCCAGGAGCTCAGGTGCTTTCTGCATTTTGAACTGCTGTCTCATCAGTTATTGCATCTGGTTGTCATAACAACCAAGGTAGCAAGGGCAGGTATGACGTTTCATTTGCAGGGGAGACGAGCTAAGGCTCAGAGAGTGGATGAGTTGGGACCACAGACCTCCAGGCGGGCTGCGGTGGTGCTGGGCCCGAGCCCCGTCTCCTGATGCCTCCCCCAAGCCTGGTACACTGCTGCTGTGAGGCAGTCCTACCAGAGGAGTCCGGGCCATGGTGGGGCAGAGAGGTCCAGTGCCTATGGAATGGGAGAGGTGGGAAACCAAGTCATGGGGAAAGGCTTGGGAAGTTGGGGTGCCGGCGGGCATATTCACCACCACACGGATCAGGATAAGGCAGGATAAGGGTTTGCCATTCCCTTGGGGCGGGGGCAATCTTTTAATGGCCTGGAAGCGGCAGGATTAGGTCTTTGGAGGAAGCTGTGCCAGGGACAAAGGAGTGAGTGCTCTGGAGAGGACAGATTCACAGCCCTTGACTGGCTAAGAGAAGGATGCCTAGGGGGGTCAGGTGTGAGGCCAGGAGGTTCTGGGAAGAAAATCCAAAATTTCTATCTGTGTGAGCCAGGAAAATGAAGGCAGCAAGGGGCAGGTGAAGACAAGCATCTGAAAGAGCTGTCAACTGTGTGCCTTGGCAACGAGTCCCCAGGGGAAAACAAAGGACAGTCCCCAGTTCCTGGGGAAAGGGCGTTCTCTCCCTGTCTTCCCGGAGGTAGGGGAAAATCACCCTCACGCTTCTTCAACCTGTCGGCATGTTTCTATGTCATGCCTTGAGCAAATTTTCTCCCCAGAAAGTTACCTGCAAAAGTTAATGTTTTTTTTCCTGCCATATAATTTCCTACATTTCTTAATAATACTGATGACATTCATCTCTGCTCCCCATACCTGTCAGAATTGAGATGCCTTTAGACTTTCTGTATCTTGAGGTGGCATGCGAAAACCAGCCCATTATGGAGAAAATATTGCATATATAATTAATATCAACATTTCACCTAAATGCTTTTTTTTTTGCAGATGATTAAACATGCATTCTATAGGAGGCACAGCAAGAATATATGTGAGTATGTATGTGTGAGTATGTGTGTGTATGTGTGAGTGCATGTATGCATGAGTGTGTGTATATGAGTGTGTATGTATGCATGAGTGTGTATATATATGAGTGTGTATGTATGCATGAGTGTGTGTATGTACGCATGAGTGTATGTGTGTATGTATGCATGAGTGTGTGTGTGTATGCATGAGTGTATGTGTGTATGTATGCATGAGTGTATGTATGTGAGTATGTATGCATGAGTGTGTGTGTGTATGCATGAGTGTATGTGTGTGTGTATGCATGAGTGTATGTATGTGTGTATGTATACATGAGTGTGTATGTATGCATGAGTGTGTGTATGTATGCATGAGTGTGTGTGTGTGTATTATGCATGAGTGTGTATATGTGTGTGAGCGTGTGTGTATGTATGCATGAGTGTGTGTTTGTGTGTGAGTAGGTGACTGTGTGTGCTTATGTGCAGATATAGAAAGCCAAATAGGTTTACCTGCATTCACAGGTACACTGAGGACGATTCCAAGAGACATCAGAGTGGGATATGTGACAGCGATTCCAAAATTTAATACAATATTGAATGCTGAAATAAAGAATGGAAACAACGGATGTTATTCAAAACTGCTATGTACTTTACCTCCCTGCTGACCTGTCTGACCCGGGTTTTCCTAATGAGGCTGGAGTCGCAGGAGTTACAATGACCCTTTGCTCTGATTCAGGGAGCTCAAAGTTCCTCTGGGGGCTGCAGGACTTGGGATCAGGAGCAGACACTCCGAGTACTCAGCCCCTCTGTCCCCTGAGTTTTGAAGAAGGGAAATAAGTTTGGAAATGGTAACCACTGAAAGGTGACTGGGACTATCTTACCAGCTTTGCTTTTCTCTGTTGCTGACAATGCTTCTGGGGTAACTGCATGAACAAGAGCTCTGGGATTTTTTTTTTTTTTTTTTTTTTTTTTTTTTTTTTTTTTTTTTTTTTTTTTTTTTTTTAGGCAGGCTCTTGTACTATCGCCCAGGCTGGAGTGCAGTGCACAGTGGTGCAATCATAGCTCACTGCAGCCTCAGCCCTTCTGCTCAAGTGATCCTCCCACCTCAGCCTCCTGAGTAGCTGGGACTACAGGTGCACACTGCTGCACCTTGCTAATTTTTAAATGTTTATTGGAGATGAGGTCTCATCATGTTTCCCAGGCTGGTCTAGAATTCCTGGGCTCAAGTGATCCTCCCGCCTCGGCCACCCAAGTGCTGGGATTACAGCCATGAGCCACTGTGCCTGGCTGGGATATGTGTTTTTGGATGGAAACTAGATAAGTCACCTCCTTGGTTGCATTTCTGCTTACTTCTAGACTTACATCAAGTAATGGAGACAGTGATGACATTGATAATAGTGATAATTGATAGTATTTATTGAACAGTGACACTTAGCAGGCAGTGTTCGGGAGCTCTGCAGGTATTAATTTTCCAACTTTTTGCTGTGTTTAGTAGGTAACATGCAACACACTGGGCTACTCGTTCACTGTTCAGAGCAGCCGTGACCACTCTGACTACTACATTGACTCTGGTTCTGGAATTCAAATCCAATGTCATCATTTCAAGGACTACTCTGTGAAACAGAAAGATCTTGAAAACTGGTGAGAACTAAAGAATAGCCATGAGGTCTGTGTTCATCCTTCAGGGAACATGTTTGCTAAGGGTCCTGCGTTGGTGATTGCTTTCTGGGGATTCTGGACAGGGCGGTCACCACTTACTCAATAAGAGAACTGAAAATCCACAAAGGTTTCCCCATGGAATGTCATCGAAAGAGCTCCAGTATTCCACTTTGGTAAAGTAGAGGATGATAGGAATGCAGGTGATGAAGAGGATGTTAAACACACCCAAGATGGACAAAAATAAGGCGGCTTCTCCAAACTTAGCACTGCCCAGGAGGAGCTTGAACAGAACCTGTAGGAGAAAGTAGAGGAGGATGAGGTGAAGGCTCACCTCAGACCCCAGCGTGTTGTAAGTGAAGCAGAGTTCACTCCACACGCTGGGGTTGCACTGCTGGATGGAAACCAGATTCCAGTGAATACCATGGGATTTGACCTGTGTTCAGCTGCACACATATTCAAATCTCAGTGACATGGCAGCAGAGAGCTGCTCTTCGGCTATCCATAAAGGATCATTAGGAGTCATGGGTTTTCACTCTAGGTTTGATTTGTCTGTGTTGTGTTCCTGATACCGCATCACTCAAAAGCATCTGCCAGGATTACGCATCCTCTCAGAGACCCCTAGGAGGGATCCTCAACTCTGCGTAAGCAGGTCAAACACCATTGCTCCCAAGAAAGAGTGCTCAGGCTGCAAAGGTATTTTCTGTACATCAAGGGTGGAGGGATTTTGCTCATCTCTGCTCCATCCCACCATGTACATTCCAGAAATGGCATGGGTTTTAGTGGAATGCACCAAACTTTTGTTTTTTTTGCACCTGCTCTTGTTTGCACATCATTTCAGGTGCTTGGAAGGCTGGGAGGAGAGGGCGAATGTGATGGGAGTGGCCCGGAGCTGAACTGGGAGATGCAGATGGTCTGGGCAGCTCCTGTGTTGAGCGAGCTGCGGTCTAATTTGACTCTCTGCATTGTGGTTCCTCTTACTTTTCCTGCTTTCTCCTTGTTCAGCCATTTCCCAACTCATTCATGTATTTCCTGGCAAATGTGCAGGAAGTATGGAAGGGGAAATAAATGGCTTTCAGCCTTTCATCTAGGAGTCCCCGTGGACAAGTTGCAGGTGGTAGAGGAGTGGGAGACAGCAATCTGAATCAGAATACTGTGTTCATTGTTGATTGTGTTTCTCCGTGTTTTTTGCTCCGCATTAGGCCACAGCTATTTGAGTCTAGAGGAGTGTATGTAGCCTTCTAATATTTTCTACATTTGCACAGTTGCTAGAGTGTCTGAGTGGTGCTAGATTATCACATCTCCTCAGTGAGAGGTGTTCAGAGAAAGAAAAGGACGTGTGTGTCTTCCTCTGTGGGAGGTGAGGGCAGGGAGGCGATGAAGAATAAGGCTGAGTATTTCACTTTCCCAAAACCAGAACACATGGTACTCACAGAGCTGCGAAAAAAAGTCTTTTCTTATGACTCTCTTCAGTACTTAATTCTATCAGTCCTACTGCCTGGATCCACAAAGGATGACAAGTCTCCAAGCTAAAATCTCATTTCTCGTTCAATCTTCTTGGTCATTTCTCCAACTTGGAGTCCTGAAAATATTTGTATTCTCTACTATGGGTCTTAGGAGGAAGAGAGAGGAGGAGAAGGGAAGTGAGGGGGAAGAGCTGCCAGGAGGCTTGATCAAGCAGGGGGTGAACAGAGAAAGGGACTTTAGTGTGGCAATAAAAATTTGTTTCCTCCAGACTTGAAGTTGGGAAGTGCTTTCCAATGGTTCCCAACATTTCATCAAAATATTTTATAATCCCAATATTGTAGCTGTTGCACTTTTATTTATTTAGCCTTCCAGCCAGTACTTGAAATGCATATGGATTCATAGTGAGCAGTGGTGGCTGCAGAAACTGTGTGGGCAAAGATTTACATGACAAAGCTGAGCCAGATATTCAAGTCTTCCCGCCTTATAGGGTGGCAAATTATCTGAGCAAACACTGAGCTTGTTTGCTGCCAATAATGAAGACAGGAATCTGACTCTGCTGATGGGCACCGCTCATTTTACCTCAGATGCTGCAACAATGTGGCTACAGATAGAAAGGCCCAGAGAGCCAAAACCAAGAGCAGGGGCACACCTCCCACTTGCCCTTAGCTGAAGTCTCTGCCTGTTGCACAGTTGACTTCAGCTATCTAGGCCTGCCTGTCTTGAAGCACGAGCATCATCAGAAGCTCTTGAAAAGAAAAGGACCAAGCATCTAGAGCCGGCTGTGCTGGCAGAGGAGAGCCAAGCCAGCCGAGAAAGTTCTCTCCCGTGCGTACCTTGTAGAGGGCAGACATGGATGCTGAGGCCACCACCAATGCGATGCCAATGACGGAGTGGCTGTGGAAGCCATCAGCGTAGGTCATCATCACAATGCCAGCAATGGCGAGGATGGCGGCCACAATCTGGACAGATGGAAGAAAATGCTAGTCAGGGAAGTCGGGATGGAGCCAGAGGGACCACGTGAGTGCCAGATGTGCGTGCGGTTCAGCCGTGTGAGGGGAAAGTGGCATCTCCTGCTTCTTCCTCCTTGGGGGAGCAACGGGCAAAGGCTGACTCCTGCCTACAATTTTGCTGCTGCTTAGAGAGGGCACTTGGCAAAGCTTGGCTTGACTAAAGAGCTGAGACTGCTGTCAGCCAGGAATGGACGGCATGGGGTTGGCCAGTAACTGATTCTTGGGAGCCTGAGAAGGAGGTGGTCGTAGTTGCAGTGGCAGGTTATCTGGTCATGACAAGGCCTGGTGGAGAATCCCTGGGCAGCCCCTGGAAATGACCTGCGTTATCTCCCAGCCTTCTGAAAGTCCCCCTGTGACCATGCTTTTATGTGTTTCATGTCTCAACAGAAAAGCCACCATGAGGACAGCACATCTTGTCCTGTTTTCTACCCCAGCAGTGAGGCCTGCCAGAATGCTACCTGGCAATCAAGGCTACAAACAGTGACCTAACCCAGGAGGTGCAGTTCCTTTCACACGTGGCCGTAGCCCCTCCACCCCACCCACCGAGGCTCCCCTCAATCTTGTTATTGTCCTGATACTGACTGCTCAGATGGGCCGGAGGCTTCATGGAGATGTACACATTACTCTTGTGCAAAGTGAAATTGCCAGAGTGAATAGGAGCTAAAACATCTGGGACAATATTCCTCAAAGGAAAAAATGCACCGGCAGACCGAATCAATACAAAGGACTGATCCAAGGTAGCCATGAAGCTGCAGGAATGTCACCGGATGGGAGGTGGAAAGGGGGTTGCTGTCAGTAGAACAAATGCGTGCAGAAGTTTCCACTCCTGGATTTACTGAGAATTTTATCCCTCTTATGAATCATTCAAAATCAACTTCAGCTATCTAAAACAATATCAGATAACTAAGGTTAACTGCGTGGTCGTAGGATACATGTTTCTATGTGTTTTCTCATTTTACCCTCACAGTAGATATGGTCATTCACCTCATTTTACAGACATGAAAACCTAGGCTCACAGAGGTTAAGTAACTTGCCCAAAGCCACACAGCTGGTATGTGGAAGAGCAGAGACAGATTTCAGGTTTGCCTGATTGTAAAGCTGGTGCTTACATATATAAACAGGAACGTATGATTCACCTAGGAAGTACCGCCAACCTACTGTTAGATTTGAATTGAAGTTGCCTTGGTAGTTTAAACATAAGATGTTTAGGTTAGCAAAACATAATGTGGCTTAATCTCACACAGTGTGTCTGAGTTACATACTTCTCTTAGCGTACAATGTTTCTATACAATGCTGTATCCATCCCTAACACAGAGCCATGGAGAGAGCAGGTGTTTATCCAGTACGAGAGGACTGCCTGGCCCAATCTGTCTGAGTGTTCTCTCTGGTACAGGAATTCACTTGCAGTTAGCCACACTGTTCTGCATCACATATATGCCTATATTTCATATTCAAATGTTACATGTACTGGGTAGAAGTGTTCATTAAGAGAAACGCAGACAGCAAGACCATAAGGGGATTTTTCCCACAAGAAATTTAAAACGGGAAAAGTGAGGAAGCAGGGGGCAAAGGGCTGGTTTCTGCTCCAGAGGACACACGTAATGGAAGGGTGCTGCCAGGAACACGCCCACCCGGCCAGGCGTCGGAGGACTTCCAGTGAAAAGACACAAGGAAGGAACGGAGAGAAGAAAATGGCCCAATTCCAGATGCTTGGTGCATCTCCCCTTTAGAGATACTTTTTTTTTTTTTTTTTTTTTTTTTTTTTTTTTATTTTATTTTTTTTTTTTTTTTTTTTTTTTTTTTTTTTTTTTTTTTTGAGACAGAGTCTTGCTCTGTTGCCCAGGCTAGAGTGCAATGGCTCGATCTCAGCTCACTGCAACCTCTGCCTCTGGGGTTCAAACGATTCTCCTGCCTCAGCCTCTCGAGTAGCTGGGACTAAAGGCACATGCCACCACGCCCAGCTAATATTTGTATTTTTGTGCAGACGGGGTTTCACCATGTTGGCCAGGCTGGTCTCAAACTCCTGACCTCAGGTGATCCACCACCTTGGCCTTCCAAAGTGCTGGGACTACAGGTGTGAGCCGCCGCGCCCGGCCTGCAGCTACCTTTTACTGAGCTTTTCCAGGCTTACGGCTGAAGTTGGAGGAACTGAAGGACAGTGAGGGGTTATTTTTTTCTGAAGACTTGCAGGGCAGATTTCCAACCTCTTCCTCTCTTCTCTATTGATTAAATAATAAACAGCTGAAAGCTTCTGCCTGGGCTACACTGTGTGGCTAAGCTGGGGGAAGGGACAAGGGAGTAGGAAATGAGAGCACGGTTGGCCGTTTACCTTTTGGTCTGCCGAGGAGACAAACATCAGAGGAGCCTGTGCCACCCCATCAGTCCATCCCGACAGGCCGGGCGGGGGACTCTGAGCTCCTCCTCCACCTCCTGGCCTTCTCCCGGGGGTCCCACCCACAAGGCACAGTGTTGACACCCCTGGCTGTGGGCTTCCCACTCTCTGGACGTCAGCAGCCCTGCCAGGACCGGACCCATGTGCTGGGATGTGAACTGGGGCTCCTACCTCACTCTCAATACCCCGCGGAGCACAGCAGGGTTGGAACATGCCCTTTGCCTTTGGGAGCAGAGCCCAAGAGTCCTTCCTGATGCCTGGAATTACTGTGAAGTTTCCAGTTCTATCTTTGAAAAGTATGTGCATATGTGACATTTGACACCCTGACACATCTGAGTTTCTGGGTTTTTATGCGACAATATTTTCCTGCCCATTTCCTGCACTAAAGCAAACTCTCCAGAAAGGCCAGTCAAGTCCGCCCCGTGGTTCCATGTGCTCCACGCACACCTTCTCCCTGCTGTGTCCACTGAGGGGATGCTGAGGGTGGGTGTGGAATCATGACAATGGAGCTTCCCTCGCCCCCCCACCCATGCCTCTCCTTCCTTACACTTTCCCGATCCTCATTGCTCCTCACGGAACAATTCTAAAACAAAGACTGACGGGTCACAGTGGCCCAAGCCCAAGATGGGTAAGAGCCACCACCTCTGCTTTGCCAGGGGAACAATTAGCTAGAGGTGAGGAAGGAACACAGGCTGGGGGCTGCTGCTTGGCGTCTTCATGTCCTCACCCAGCATGGTGACCCACTGTCATAACCTGTGCGGCTGCCAGTGCTCCGGATCTGGGTCCCACACACCTAGACCCGAGTCACTGACATGTCACTCATCTCCACGATGGTTCTGCTCCTGCTCCCTGTGGGGAGGGAAGGGGAAGGCGAGGAAACCCTTGAGCCATAAAGAGGAGAGAGGAGGGTTGGCGTTGGCCTAGGTGAAGTCTAGTCACCATTCAGACTAGGGCTCCTCCTGCTTGGTCTTGCTAAAATGTGGCAAGGCCTGGTGCAGTGGTTCATACCTGTAATCCCAGTGCTTTGGGAGGCTGAGGCAGGCAGATCGCTTTGGGCCCAGGATTTCGAGACTGGGCAACATAGTGAGACCCCGTCCCTGCAAAAAATTAGCCAGGTGTGGTCGTGTACACCTGTGGTGCCAGCTACTCAGCAGGCTGAGGTGAAGGGATCACTTGAGCCCAGGAGGTTAAGCCTGCAATGAGCTGGGACAGCACCACTGCAGTCTAGCCTGGGTGACAGAGTGAGATCCTGTCTCTGCAAAAAAACAAAACAAACAAAAAAACAAACAAAAAAAAAACAACCCAACAAAACATGGCAGGCTGCATGTTCGCTGCTCAACATAACCCCATGTGGAAGCTTTTTATATTTGCACAGCTTGGGTCAATTTTACACATGGGAAAATGGGCTGATTTTTAAACATCCTTCCCCCAATTCTTTCCCTCACAGCTCCTGGACTGCTCTCATTGACTCAAGTAATACTGGAGTTTGGAGGGAAGGGAGGGATCCTCTAGTCCACGCCTTCTGTGTGTGAGAGCAGAAGGTGGCCTGGGCTGTGAGCTCCACCACTGCTCATTCTCTGTGTCTTCTCCATACTTGGCTCAGGTTGCAGAGGGCAGCCTCCCGTGTAGAGGGGAGTCCGGGCCAGACACACAGGTATGTTCGGGGATGGATTGCCCCTTTTGAAACACGGCCAACATTTTGATTATTGGAAACATCAGCTAGAATCTGACGGAGATGGGAACTGATCTTGGAAAAAGGTCCACGATCCCCAGGAATGTGCCACTGGGGCTTGAGGACCCTGTGGATGACCTCTCAGCTCACCTTCTGGCTCCTTCCTACTCTCTCCTGGTTTGAAGGCCCTCACTGTGATGGGTGGTCCTGAGAAGCCGTGAACAGTCAGCGAATCTCACCTCCCACTTCCCTTGACATGGAGGCTCGGGGTGGTCTCACTCAGTCTGACTGCAGCTGGTGGGCAGGGTATACCCGGGGCTCTGCTGCTCTCACCCTACTCTCGCTTTTGCCACATTAAACTGCCTCTCTAAATCTTCATCCACCAACAAGAGAATTGGGCTGATCCATCAACCCCATCTAATTGAGAAGGAATAAGAAAAATAACAACATTGAGAAGAGACACCATTTATTGAGTTTTACGTGGGAGGCATGCATCATTTTATTCTCAAAACTGTTTTCTAAGATGAGTAGTAATATTCTGTCCATTGAACAAAGGCTCAGAGACACTTACTAGTTTTCTCAAGGTCAAACAGCTTATAAGAGTGGAGCCAAGATCTGTGACCTCGTCACTTGACTCTAGCCTGGGACGCCTCCATTGCTGAGCTAGAATCCTGACGTGGAGAGCCAGGGCACATATAGAAAGCACACCTAAGCAGAGAGTCAAACGGTGACACGAGACCAGCTTAACTCCTTCCAAACAGACACCCCAACAGCTTCTCACCCTCCTGTACTATATGTGGTGAGGAATCTCCCCGGCATGATATAAGTTTGCTTCTTTCTGGAGCTGTGCACCTGACCTACACCTATTGATGTTTTCCAGGAGCTGCAGCCCTTGCGGTTTGAGTAACTGCCTTAATAACACAAGTCTCCTGAGCAGACAATTCCAAAAACATAAGGCTGGGCCTTCATCATGGTTTTGATGCCTGCTTGACTCCCAAGCTCATACGCTCAGCCCTCCAGGATGGAGGACCATGTTAATTCTCTTCGGTCCTTGGAAATTACCCAGTGGACAGTGCTAGGCTACCCAGCCATCTGAGTGAAGTCTGAGTGGTCCCATGTATCAGTTAGATATTATCTTGGAACTAAATCTCCATCTGTTCATCAAGGAGAATCTTTCAGTCCCTTTGGCATGTGGCAATGTCTCATGGATTTTGCTAGCTCTCTGAATCCCTGAAGAAGAGAAGAGGGAGCTCCAACACAACCTGCAGCAGGAAGCTCTTAGATGCACTTCTAAGAGGAAGAGTGATTATTAGAGAGACCCACAACTGCACAGTGCTTTGCAAGTTACAAAATGCCATCAGTGCCATCACCGACACTGGCTCCTGGGACCCTCATTCAGTGTCAGTCTAGTACCAGAGTCCTTCAACACAAAACTTTGCTCATTACAGTGATCAGCAATAGACCAAACCAATCAGGTGGCCAGCATGGCCAGAATGTGCCATATTCTGAGGATGTTTGTTGGGTGGGGGTTGGGTGGGGGTCTTATCTGTGTATAGCAATAAAGACCTGGAAGCACTATATTGCTTTCTATGAATTTTGGAGTATTTTTCAAGTTTTTCTCACCTCCTTAACCTAAAAAAAAAAAAAAAAAAAAAAAAAAGGGTTTCTTCTGCTACATGCAGAATTAACCTTGAAGCTTCTCTTCCCAGGAACAGGGTCTCATCTGGAATTTTCTTGGGACATCTGAGTCATGCCAAAAATTTCCACAAATTCTTCTGGCTCTTTACATCAAAATAAAGTCAGGAAGGGCCTGAGTGGGTGGCAGGAAGGCCCAGACATTCAAGTTTTCAGCAGCAAATCAGGCCGGCTGCTGGGTGGCTGTGAGAGGGACTTGCATTTCTTGCAGAGATGCATCAGATCATTTATTCGCTGAAAGCTTTTCTGGTGGCACAGAGAGTGAGTTTTTATTCCAAAATTAACAGTAAGCCTCAAAACAAATTTTCCCCCTACTGCAAGCTAAAAATACAACTCACAGTTGACTCATGTCCCCACTGCTGTTTGGGTAACTTAGGTGGGTGTCAATGCACCCTTAGGGTGATGTCATTGTTCCCAGGACAGTGAGGGAAGGACGGAAGTAGAGGGCCCTGCACCGGTAGCTAGCAGGGTTTGCTTTCATGGGACTGCCCGTCAAACCAGCTGTTAGCTTTGTGGCTGAAGGGGAAAGCCGTACACTTGAACTACAAGAGAACCCGGGGCCTGGCCAAATGCTCTGGCACTGGTTTGTGGCAAGGTGATGACGGGGCAGTAGCAGCTCCTGGCCACCAGAGGGAGCCTGTCAGCAGTCACTAGGGTTCTGCCTTGTGCCAAACGTCACCTGTTTCTTTCATTGGGGGGAATCTCTCTATATTCAGCTGATATTTGATAGTGCACGTGTCCTATTTCATACAGGTGTTATGAAACCTGATGAGCTAACTTTGACTAGCATTTAATGTGATGAGTGAGTCCTCCATTGTAAAATGAGAGGTAATTCAAGGGATATAATTTCACTCCCCCTTTGTCATTGGTTGGAAGGAAGTGAAGCTGACCCTTCACAGATGGGGATTAGCATGAGTGTGTCTGGCTCACTCTGGCTGTGTACACACGGCCCAGGCAAAGGGCCAAGACTGCATGCATGCATGGATGCCGAAGGAGCCTTCAGGCTTCATGCACATCCTCACCCAAGAGTGGCAGTGTTAGCAGAAAGCTCCAGGCTGCAGAGCACGGTCATGCCATGCACTGCAGCCGGGAAAGCTGCCCACGAGAGACGGGGTGGTGAGCACGCAGAGAGCAGAGCACATCGCCATTCCCAGACTGGGTCCCTGACTGGCACACACTTTAGGGAATGCTTATTGAAATGCTTGAAATGAAAGGTGCTTTAATGAATGCTTGTCTAGTATGGTTTGCAAGCAAGAAGGTTGGCAAGGCACACCAAGAACCGGGCCCTCTGCTGGGCTCCTTTTCTGCTGCAAATCAGAAGGAAAGTGGTCAGCAGCTTATGCTCATGGTCCAGCACATGGAGCTAAGCAAGCCGATGGGCAGGTTTTTGTTGACATGACTGAGTGAGGGAGGAAGACAGATAATAAACAACTTACCCTCACTCCCATGAATCTGTCCCTGAGAACGATCCATGAGAGCAAGAACACAAAAGCTTTGTTGCAGCAGAACAACACGGAGACATCCGTAGTGTTTATTTTCTTTATTGCATGTAAGTACAGGTAGTTTGTGAGTGTCCAAAGAACACCAAAGGGTGCTGCCTTGGTAAAAAACACCTTCAAAGTCAAGCCATTGTCTCCAAAAAATCGACAGCATTCCCTAAAACAAGGAAAGAGAGGCATTGTTATTATTTTCCTGGGTTCAGACAGACCATTTATTTCCCCTACCAAGTTTTTCTTTACGCAAATATAGGAAGGGGCGGGGCTTTAAAATTTATTATTTTTAATAAACATCTTTCTATTAAAGCTCTTCAATCTATTGCTTTAGTCCACTGAAACAAATGGTGCACAGTGATCTGAGTCACAGATTCTTCCTTCTGTTCATGTTATGTTTGGAATTTATGGCTCTAGACAGAAGGTAATGTTGGAGTTACCTGACCCAAAGGCCTATGTACGTATGGTGATTGACTGAGGGATTTTGTCACTTGCTGAGTAAGAGAAGGGGGTCACTACATCTATTTTTGGGGGGGTTGTGGGGGAAGCCTGGTAATGGAAGAGGTTTGATACAGGTTTGTCTAATCTTTTGGCTGTTTGGGGCCACATATAAACTACACTAATACTAATGATAGCTGATGAGCTAAGAAAAGAAATTTCAAAAAAAATTCTCATCATGTTTTAAGAAAGTTTACAAATTTGTGTTGGGCCTCATTCAAAGCCATCCCAGGCCACATGCGGCCTGTGGGACAGTTGGACAAGCTTGCTCTAAGAGGACACATTGAAACATATCTTTAAAAATATTACCCTGAATTGGAATTATCTTTGTGATCAGGCAGGGGCAGCCACTTCTTGGGCATAACTCATGCATTTTGGCTATAATATGAATAGTGCTAACTCTTGACCTATCTTCTCCCTGAGGTCATTTTTAGGGCACTGATTCCACCATGTGGAAGTCCTACTGCTCCAAGAGACTATCTAGCACAGGAAGAATAAGCAGATCCAAAGTTTCAGGGTCTAAAGCGGGAAGGAGATGAGGAAACATCTGTAGAAGAAAGTCTTCTGATGCCATTCTAGAGTCTGGGGGAAAGACCACAGGTATTTCAAGAAATGCTTAAGAAAAATAAAGCCAGTCTTCCACATGCAGAAGAAGGAAGTAGAGGAGACCGTGGGGCTCAGGTGTGGAGAGGCCACTGAGAAGGCTTATCTACGGCTGCCTGTTTCCTTGACTGTGGGGGAGTGAAGATCATTGCTGGGCTGGGCCCGATGAGCCAGGCAAGGAGTTGGATGAGTGAGGAAGCACTGCTCCATGGAAGTCCCTGTCCAGGCTCATGGACATGGCATAGCACTGCCACAGCTGGGGATGGCCTGCCAGCCAGGAAGGGAGTCAGCCTGCTAGTGATCTAGAAATAGACTCAGTCCCAAATGAACTGTCACGAGAGCAAAAGAAAAGACAGCTCTAGAATAAACCAAATGTGCTAGGTTGAGGGAATAGCTCTGGTCTGTGCCACTTAGTGTGAAAATGCAGAGATAAAGGAGGAAAATTAAAAACAAGAGTCCAGGGGGATTGGGTAAGATTTTAGATTTTAAATTTAATTTTACTGTCTATTTTTTCCTATCAATCTAGAAGGAAATCTGCCTTTGTTCATGACTCAACTATGGGATGTCCATAGAAGGAACAAGAAAACTCCTTAGAGAAAGGCATGAGAGCCCGGGATACTGAGAGAGGAGAAACACACTTACCATTTTGTAGAGGCGGGTGCAGTTTGGCCACCACTCTCTGCACACAGAGTCCTATGTTGCTTCCGAACAAACCGGGACCAGGTAAAGCGTTCATGTCACTATATTTATCACGAAACTGATTCAGCCGAATTGATTCCATTTTGGCCTTATATAGCTGCAACCCTCATCTAAACGAGAGGCTGACATTTCTGTTTGCCATGTAATTTTCATACCGTATTCCAGCTATATTTGCTATGGGATTTCCCAAGCTCCTGTGTGCAGAACAGTCTCAGTTCCCGCAGGGACAGTGACCATGAATGATGGCTTCCTTTATGTGTGTGATTATGGTGGCTACAAAGTGATGGTCCATTGAATATGACCAAAATAAAATACAAATATTCTTTCCTGCCATTAATGCCAACCTATTTCCGCTATACTTAGAGGTTCCCTTTCTAAGAGAAAAACATCGTGCAAGTAGAATTTCCAAGTTCCACCTGGCTCACGGTCATGAAAAATCATTCCTGTTCTGGAAAGGACATCCGAGGCTAAGTGGACAACCTGCTTCCTCTCTGAAAATCCATATTTGATTCCTCCCAAGCTTGACGATTATAGGTGGGATGGAGAAGGGAGGGAGGGTGCATACATGGCTTGGTATTAAGCCAAGTTGATGGCACAAGTTGCGGGAAATGGGGAGGGAGTAGGGATCCCATACTGGAGATGAAAGAGGTGAGACTTCTAGACCTCAGCAGAGTCCTGGTGGCCCTTTAAGGCCTCATGGCCAGGAGATCACAACTTAGGTTGGTGGATCTTGGTTCTAATTAGACCAAGACAATTGGCCCCCAGGGCTGGTGAGCCTCATGATATTTCGAGACCAAAGACTACGCACTAATCTTCAGTGCTAAGAGATTTGGGCACAGTCTTTGATCTGAAAACAGCACAATATTGGCCAGGCATGATGGTTCATACCTGTAATCCCAGCGTTTTGAGAGGCCAAAGCTGATGGATTACCTGAGGTCAGGAGTTTGGAACCAGCCTGGCCAACATGGTGAAACCCCGTATCTACTAAAAATACAAAAATTAGCCAGGCATGGTGGCAAGTGTTTGTAATCCTAGCTACTTGGGAGGCTGAGGCAGGAGAATCCCTCGAACCCGGGAGGCGGAGGTTGCAGTGAGCCGAGATCGCACCACTGCCTTCCAGCCTGGGCAACAAGAGCAAAACTCCATCTCAAAAAACCAAACCAAACGAAAACAAAAAATACAGTACAATATCTCAGGATCTGGCTGGCCCATGTATGCCCTTGATTGCAAGGGAACCCAAGACAGATGACGAACATGAATCCATTTCTGCCAGAGACCTCCCTCTTCTTGGTAAACAAATGGAGCGCAGTCAACACTCTGTTGACTGACTCCCACATAACTGACTGGACAGTCTAATGCCCTTCATTCCTTCTGTTCACTGATGCTGCTGGCAGGCTGAAGACGGGAGGGAGGCAGGTTACTTCCAGCACACTCAAGCCCTTCTGTTCCTCTTCATTGAGTCACATATGAAGATTTAGCTTAACTTCTTTTTTTTTTAGTTTAAAAAGCTTTTAAACTAACATGAATTATTTCTTTT